GTCAGCACAGCCGGGATCTGGTGAATGCCCCTCTTCCAGGTTGCACATTGCTGACCTCTCGCTGTGTCTTCAGAAGAGCAGATTCTCTGGGACCTCATTTATAAGGGGCACTAATCCCATTGTTGGGGGCTCTACCCTCATGACCTAACCGCCTTCCCCAAAGGACCCACCTTCTAATACCATCACTCTGGGGGTTTAGGATTTCAACGTATGAATTTGTGTGTGTGGGGGGGGACACAAATATTTAGACTGTAGCAATGTGTTTTAAAAGCATGGGTTCTATTATGACTCAGGGATGGTGAGGCTAATAGATCAGGAGATGACTGCCATTGAAAAGATGGCGGTTATACTCACACATCACAAGAGGGGGGCCCCCCCACCGAGAGAAGGGTGCATGGAGGGGGCAGGTGGGGAAGCACCAGGGTTTGTCAGGAGGCAGAGAGACCGAGAGACCGAGGGGAGAGCACGGACGAGAGTCTCTACTGTGGTTTCCACAGGACGGAATGGGTGAGGTGGGGAGACAGACTTGGGATTGGCGGGGCAGACTTGACTATTGGCCGGGGCACGGGGCTGCCTCTGCTGGCCTGACACCTGGCTCCGTGGTGACTAGGGCAAAGGATGGTGAGGGTCCGAAAGGGGCGCTGAGGGCGTGGGCTCTCGATTGGCTGGCTTGCATTCAGAAGGCCTGAGCACAGGTGAGTCTCGTGCTCTCGCTAGAAATCGGCCACGCTTGGCCCCGGCAGTCACCCCAGGGCCAGCACGGCCCCGAGACGGTCAAGCGTCGGAATAAAGGAAGGAAAAGGCGTGACTGATGCCCACGGCCCAGCTAGGCATAAAACTAACCGCGACGGTGGGGTAGGAAAATTGGCTGCCCAGAGCACACAGCAACGTCAACGACGGTTCTCCCTCGGAAAGCGGTGAGACTGCGTGAGGTTTACTTCCTTTCCTTTCTCTTTTCTGTAAGTTCTAAATTTTCTCTGTGAGCCTGAATTACCTTTCTTATCAACATGGTGAGGGGGAGGGGACCGGGTCAAAAACCGTCTGGGGCATCCGGCGTGACTAGCTGAGTCCCTAGCCCCGCGGACGCATGCTCCCGTCCGGGCTGGTTAGAGGGGACACGGGCATCTCTCTGCCGCGCGCCCTCCCTGGGCTCTCTGTCCCCCAGAGCACAGAGGCGCCCTCCTGCCTCCCTTCCCAGGACGCTGAGGGGGCCAGAAGCCTGCATAAGACAGTGGGGGCCTCCCCTCAGAGGGCCTGTGTCAAAAACCTGGGCTTTGGGTGTGTGTGCTTAGAGTGTATGTGTCAAGAAGTGAGTGGCTGTAAATGAGTGTGTAAAGGTGTGGGGCGCGTATGTGTGTGTGCGGGCAGGTGAACGTGCATCCGTGTGTGCATACGTCAGTGTGAGTGTGGAGTGAATGAGTGCATAGAAGTGTGAGTGCCAGAGAGAGTGTGTGCGTGTATCTGTGTGCGTCAGGGGTCTGGGAACCAGAGGAGGAGGGGGCAAGACAGGAGGAAGCACAGTGACCCTGCCTTGGTGCCCTGGGGGGACAGGCCGCCACACGGGAGAGCCACAGGAAGGAGACCAGGCTGCGTCCCAGGATCCCATGTGTGTAGCCCCAGAGGGCGGGTCTCCACGGCTGACTGGGCTGGAGAGGCGTCTCCGCCACCACGGAGCCCCTTGGAGGCCAGGGGGCGCTCCGAACTGGGACGGAGGTGTGCACTTGACTGTCACCCAACTGGGGAGGACATTCTGTGGGCCTCTTTGCCCAGCATGCCGAAGGGCCCTGCACAGGGCCAGTTGCCCCGCCCAGCACGCCGGTGGTGGTGGTGGAGGGGGGAACGGGTGACCTGCGCCCCCTATGCCTCAAGTGTCCTCACGGCACGCCGGGTCCCCGGCCCGCCTGTGGAGACTGTAAACTATGTTGGCCCCGAGACACTCCTGCGGCACCAGTCTTCAGAGAACGTGGGCACCTCTGTTGGTGGTCTCAGGGGGCAAAGGCAAGTAGACCTGGGGTGACCATGCACGGGGGAGTCAGGCCGGTGCCATACCTCTCCCGGCCTCCACCTCACCTGCATCTTCCTGGAGCCAAGATGACACAAGGGGAGCCAGGAGCGGCCCATGACGGGTGGGGGAGGACCGCGGACGGAGGGCAACAAGGCCCTTCCTGCAAAGGGGACATCCCTCCCCTCTGTGATGAGGAGGCCCTTCCTGAGGGGAGCCATCCCCAAAGTGATAAGGCCTCTCAGAAGGAGGGCCGGCACCCGGTTACACTCTGCCTTTGAAGCCTACCCTTGAGCGCTGAGAGGGCTTCTTCGTGGGACGCCCCAGCTCCTTGGTGGGAAAGCCTTTGAAGTGTCTGGTGAGACTGGGCCTCTAAGGGGCCGACTGTCCTGAGTCAGACACGTGGGGGGGGGGGGCAGGGGAGGAGGGAGAGACTGACAGCTCCTTGTCTGATTGAACAGGAGCCCAAACAAGCAAAGGTTCAGAGAATACTCCGCAGGTCCTTGTCGCCACCCAGGTCTGAACGCCCCAGCCACTGATCCCCAGGAGCTGAGGAGGCCTCGGCCTTGCAGCTTCTGTGGCAGGAGCCGGACCCCGAGAAGGCAGCCAGGCTGGGCCCGGCCCCGAGCATCCTTCTCTCGTAGGAAAGAGAAAACCACCGGAGGGATCTCGACCTGCCGCTTGGAGGGTGGCCGGCAGCATGGGCCCCACCCCAGGCCCACGGAGCCGGGAATAACTAAGCGACGACCCCTTGTCCCTCTCTGGGAAGAATAAAGGACCCGCCTCTGGAGTCCGATGGGCACGGGACACTTTCTGTTTTACAAAATGCCTCCAGCCTCGTAACTGCTGGTGAGAATCAGAATATTACCAGTGTTGCCATGCTGGAGACGAAATCCATCTGGGCTGGTGGGGGGGGGGGGGGGCGGTTTACAGAAGAGTGGACCAAAGCACGGGTGGGTGTGAGGCTTAATAAGGTAGCATAGATGTGGGACTGGGACTCAGGCCTCCTGAAAGTGCCCCACTCCACTCACTGCCTCCATGACCTCACCACCTCCTATGACCGTTTAGCAGTCTGGCCCGGCGGAAGGACACCGGACGTTAACAGAAGGTCGGGAGTCTTGAAGTGAATCCTAGTTCTGCCCATGCTTGGCTGTGTGCCCTTGGCCAGGTAGCTGAACCTCTCTGGGGGCCTCCAACCACACGGTCTCAAAGAACACTTCCTGCTCTGAAATGGGGGTACCTCTTCCCTCCCCAGGATTCACCAGAGAACATTCTCTTCATATATTTAAAAAGGCGATGGGCCTTTTCAGATGTTGCTGACATCCATCCATTACATAAAACAGGGAATTATTTGATGAAAAATGGGGGCCTGACTCAGGTCTGCGTGTCACTGACAGGGAGGTAACCTGCACTAAATGCTCAGAGCGAGGTCAGGAGGAGGCCGGTCGTGGAAAGAGAGGAAGTTTCTCCGGTAACCATGGTTTCAGCGGATGCCCTCTGGCAGCTCATTACAAAATAAACATCACAGGTGCCCAGGGAAGCCTCCCCTAGCTCACCTCTCCCTTCTTCCTATTTCTGTGGCTTCTGCCTCCATGACCCTTTTTTAAATTTAAATTGATGGACTTTCCTCTTTAGAGCAATTTTAGTTAGGTTTAAGACAAAATTCAGTGGAAACTACAAATTCTCACCATACCCCACCCCTGCCCTGGAAATTTCCCCTGTTATTAACCTCTTTTTTTTTTTTTTTAATTTTTTTTTTAACGTTTATTTATTTTTTTGGGACAGAGAGAGACAGAGCATGAACGGGGGAGGGGCAGAGAGAGAGGGAGACACAGAATCGGAAACAGGCTCCAGGCTCTGAGCCATCAGCCCAGAGCCCGACGCGGGGCTCGAACTCACGGACCGCGAGATCGTGACCTGGCTGAAGTCGGACGCTTAACCGACCGCGCCACCCAGGCGCCCCACCTCTTTTTTTTTTTTTAAGTTTATTTATTTTAAGAGAGAGAGAGGGCACACATGGGGGAGAGGGGGAGAGAGAGGGAGAGAGAGAATCCCAAACAGGCTCTGTGCTGACAGTGCAGAGCGCGATCTCACAAACCTTACGCTCATGACCTGAGCTGAAGTCAAAGAGTCAGAAACTTAACTGGACTGAGCCACCCAGGCGCCCCTCACCTGTTATTAAGCTGTAATTAACCTCTCGCCTTAGTGGCACATTTCTTGCAACTGACGAGCCAGTATGGATACACCACTATTAACTTAAGTCCATCAGAATTCACTCTGGGTGTTGTATTCTATGGGTTTGGACAAACGTAGAATGACATGTATCCATTGTTACAGCACCACACAGGAGAGCGTCACTGCCCTAAAAGCCCTCTGTGTACCACCTCTCCATCCGTCCCTCCCGCCCAAGCCCTGGCAACCCCCGATCTTTTTATTTTCTCTGTAGTTTTGCCTTTTCCAGAAATGTCCTCTAGTTGGAATCATCCAGTATGCAGGCTTTTCAGACTGTCACTCAGCAATGTGCAGTTCAGTTTCCTCCATATCTTTTCAGAGTTTGCTGAGCTCCTTTCCTTGCAGTGCCGACCTGGCGGGCTTCTGATGGGGAGCAGAAGATCCTGACGGCTGCACCAGGACCTTCGCAGGAGCCCCACACCCCCAGAGCCCGGCAGCACCGTCTCGGAAGGGCTGTGCAGTCAGAGCCTGTCCATTCACTCAGCGTGCCCAGGAGCTAGGGACAGAGATGTAAGAAACAGGGGCCGGGTTCTTACGAAATCCCACCCAAAATGGGTGGAAGGAGCCACCGGAGAGCTGGGCTCCGGCCTCCTGGGATATGTGGCTTCCCTCCCTGCAGGAAACACGAACCATCACCTGAAAAGGAGATACTGCGTGGTGACACCGTGACCCGTCTGCACCTGACTCCTCGCCCTGTCCAATTCCCCCCCAACCAGGCAAGGAAGGAGAATCTGGGAGGAGAACGTCCAACCCCCAGCCCATTTTAAGCCCGGCCAGGAAAGCCCGAAAGCCGCCTGGCTGTCTCCCGCCCCCATCCCTGGCAGAAGGTTTTCCAGAGGAACCAGACAGCCTCCTGAGCACCCCCAATATGCGCGGAGTCGCTGGATCTCATCTGTCTGCCTCCCTCCTGGGCCAAGACAAAAGCGTCACTCTGTGTCTGACACCACGGCCTGAATCGCTCTCACCCCTGCTGTCAGCCTCCTCCCTGGCTTTCTTCTTTGCTCGGTGTTATTTACCACTGCAAAATGAACAGAGTAACAAGCTTCTCACTCAGGGACGCCACCCCACCTGAAGAATTTGAGCAAACTTTTGCAAAACTTGGCTGCAATCGAGGTCTTGCCTTCTGGATCTTGGTCAGCTCAGGGAAGGCTGGGGTTCGAAGAATTTCCGCATGACCAACCGGTGGCGGGTGGGAGGGGCAGGGAGGGGCTGGAGAAGAAACACAGGACGCGGACCATCCCCAAAGAAGAAGCAGCCCTATAAACACCATCAGATATGCCTTCTGTAAAGGGTTTCATGGAGCTGTTTTTAACGTCTACATTTAACAATTCGAAGTACCCCGGGCCTGTGTATTTCAGGTATAATGTCTCAGAAGCAAAAACTTACAAAGGTCTCTGATGTTTCCCTTTCAGACTTTTTTTTTTTTCCCATGATACGAACTTTTTTTTTTTTTTTTTAAGGCCTGTGCTTTCCAGTGAGCTCTCCTCCATCTCTTTTTCTTGCTGAAACTGCAGATGTACATTATGGTAGTGTGAAAAAAGCTAATTACACTGCAGAGGCTTGGCGGGAGGCAGGGAAGGCCCCGCCGAGAGCACAGGATGATTGATTTGCACTGTCACACAGCTCTGCTGGGTGTCATAACTTAGTGACAAATCAAGGATTACAGTGACCCAGAGTAACTCTCTCCCTTTGTTGTTGGGCAGACATCAAAGCCGCCAAGCATATTAGTGTTTTTAATAAGCAGTTAAGTCAGGAGTAGCTTACAGTTTAGAATTACTTTGTGTACAACCGGAGGTGTTGGGGCGGGGGAGAGCGTAGGAGAAAAAACAACCAAAAATCATTAGTCGGATAAAAAAAAACCCGAATGAAATAAAACAAAAGAAAAGAAAATGAAATGGAACGGAGCCCATGTGGCAGGAGCGGGTTCTTTGTAGGGGCGGTTGGAGGTTTTGCATTATTTGTTCAAGCCACACAGAGGCCTGCTGGGGCAAGGCACGCCGTCTGGAAATTCGGTTTTCTGGGGGGGGGGGAAAGGGACTATACATGCTACAGTTCTGGGAGGGAGGGGTGGCGCGATTCTTATAAGCAAATGGCTTTGTTTTAATCCGCGCAGAGGGAGGCTGGGAGGGTCACGTTGATGTGTTTGAGGACAAATATCCTGTTCCCCAACAATTAGTATCATAAAATGGTTGGGGCAACTCACCTTATCTCGAGTGTACACGTATCCCTGAGGACAGCTGCGGTCGATGCTGGTTTTTCTCAGGACCTTTACCTTCAGCAACCGAGCAGAGACCTGAAAATCAGAGCAAGGTGGGAAGCCACTATTCGTTCCTGCTATACGGTCATTATCACCCTGGTGATGCGAATGGTTTCCGAGGACGAGGACTGGCTCCTTGGAGGACACAGCTGGGGCCAGGGCCCCGATGACATAGGTTGGCTGTCACGCGCTGTGGGGTGACTTTCCTGGTGACTTTCAGCAGGTGGAGCCCCCCAGACAGAGAGAATCTCTGCCCGAATCACACTTGAACTCCTGAGAAGCATGTATCGGCATCAGAGATGGGGTGACCCAGCTCATGTGGTATGGCAGAAGAGCAAAGGCAGGTCTTGGCTGTGTGACCCTGGGCAAATCCATCAACCTCTCTGGGCCTCAGTTTCTTCATCCGGCATACCTGGAAATAATCCTTTCTTGCTTGCTCAGTGGGTTGTACAAATCTAATAAAACGAGGCTGATGAAAATATTTCAGATTCCCAAGCACTATGCGATTCGACCGGAAAATGGAAGCATGGAAAGAAGCCATCTTGTCACATGTACGCTTGGTTGACACGGGTGAAGGAAAGCTATGGCATCACCCACGTGGGCACCCCATGACAGATCTGCATCTTGAGAAGCGCATCCACGGGGATGCACTTTGGCCTATGGTGTGTATAAAATCCACTGGGGTAACCAATGGCCTTGATTTTCATTTGTGTGTATGTATGAGTCTATGTATTCCCATTTGCATCCCAATGAACAGAAACAAGAAAAATCAAAACCATGGGAGTAGCTTTAATTCCTATTATTATGAATAAAATGATGGAATAGGCAGGCTGCAGGTAAGAGGGTGAGAGTAAGAGAGGGAGGCCTCCCCAAACAGGGAGGCCCCAGCAGGTGGCTGACAGAGCGATACCCCTCAATATAGTCCCTATGGCTACGCATTAGCCAGGTGGGTTCCAAAGGGGGATTTTTGTCAGTTTGCTCAGGAGGCGAGATAAAGCCTTGAGAGACTGATGGTCCCTCAAGCAAGTTCATGCTGACTGAGCAGCGAGAGTGTCTCATACCCCACTCAGAGACTGTTCCATTGGATAACTGGGCCCTCGCCCCTGGCTTTCACTCAGCACTTTGAAAAGTCCCATTGACAGGCTAGGATGCCCTGACTCTGTTTGTACATGTGTTTTTTATTTTTTAATATTTTTTAAAATTTACATCCAACTTAGCATATAGTGCGATAATGATCTCAGGAGTAGAATTCAGTGATTCATCCCCTGCATATAACACCCAGTGCTCAAGCCGGTCCTCTTTAGATTGCAGACCACCTCCCTCTCTTTTTTTGCAATTAAGTGGGTCACGGTTTCCTCTACTTAGGGCGTTCTATTCCATGGCAGCAGAAACGCTGTGTATTAACAAATGCATCCTGCAAGGTAAGTTCCTCCTGTAGTTGCCCAAGTGCATCACGTTATGTTGCTTCTTACTTATCAGAATTGCAGAATTACTCTTCAAAAGCTCACAGCTGCCTTCATAATGACTACAGAAGATACTTCTGAGCCCACCCAGCCCTGTGTTCCCTTTCTCCAACCTTACAGAGAACTTTCTTCAAATGAAACCTCCCATGGGAAAGAGTTCTGTCTTGTCTAACAGGTCAGATCTGCTCATAGATAGCACTCCAAGCCAGCAATTCCGCTCCTTGGTTATCTCCCACATGTGCACCAGGAGACAGGGAGAGGAATGTTCCGTACAGCGCTGTTCCCAATAGTAAGAAATGGAAAACCGCCTCAAAGTCCGGCAGCAGCGGAAGAGACAAACTGTGGTCATTTAGTGTAAATAAACGCTATTGATTGGCAAACACGAACTACGGCTGTGAGCGTGAACTTGAAAAGAAATCTCGAAACCAAAATGTGATGAAGAAAGGCAAATTCTACGGGGCGCAGCTGGGTAAGCATCCGACTCAATTTTGGCCCAGGTCGTGATCTCACGGTTTGCGAGTTCAAGCCCCACTGATGGTGCAAAGCCTGCTTGTGATTCTCTCTCCCTCTCTCTCTGCCCCTTCAGTGCACGGACGCTCTCTTTCTCTCTCTCAAAATAAATCAGTAAACTTAAAAAAAAAAAAAAGAAATGCAAATTCTAGAAGACAACATGCATGTGACTTTGTTAATATAAAGTACAAAAAACAGGCAACAGTAAACAGTACATTGACTGAGCACACATACGTGAGTATTGAAACTGTGAAGGGGAGGAAGGAGACAAGGGAGAAGGAAGGAGAGAGGGCAGGGAAGAAACGGGAATGCTCTCGTTCCTGGAGAGGTGGTTTCCCCCCAGCTGAACGGGGCTCAGGCTTGGTGTGTTGGACACGGGGGTAAAAGGCTGTGAGGGTGATCTAGGATCTTACGAGCTCCTTTATTGTTCAGATATGCGGTTAGTAGGTGCCAAGAGTTTGCTAACCACAGTGCTCCCTGAACTGGCATATTTTCTTCTACGGTCCTCTGGAGAAACCAAGGAAGACGAAGGTGGTTCACGCCAGGGATCTGTTAAAACAAAACAGCATCTAGAAGATGGTCTAGGGCTGGCAGAAGTTAGGATGGCCTCCTCCACCTTCCAGATGGCCCACATGCTACTCACAGATGCCCCGAGTGGGATGAGGGACTTGGGGCGAGGTGGGGGCCGGGGGTGAGGGGTCTCAGTTCTGGTATAAGGAAGCAGGTGACCACTCAGTCACTCCCTAGTGCGTCCCTCTATTTTAATTCTCTGCACAGTACCTCTAGGATCTCATGTTTTCCAGTTCTGTTTGCGCATCTGTTGACCGCTGGTCTCCCCCAGCCTGGTTCCTCATCGCCGTCCCTGCCGCCGGGACATAAATTTAGCTCCCTTCGCGTTGGAGGTAATCAGAGAAGCATCTTTCCCTCCTTGGAGATAACGTTCACATAGATATCAAACACTATAGCCTCATATGGATCTGTAAGAAATAACTTCTAAAAATCATCCAGTAAGGAACCCTAGGATGTCAGTAAGAGTAGTTGCCTCTTGGAAGGAGCGCTAAGAAACTGAGGGATAGGGAGAAAAAGGTAAACGTCTCACTGTGTATTTTTTGTCCTATTGGACCATTTAATCAAGCACATGTACGTCTTGTATTAAAAGTTTGCTTTAGGGGCGCCTGGGTGGCTCAGTCAGTTAAGCGTCCAACTCTTGGTTTCGGCTCAGGTCGTGATCTCATGGGCTGTGAGTTTGAGCCCTGAGTCAGGCTCTGCACTGGCAGCCTGGAGCCTCCTTGGGATTCCTTTTCTCTCTCCCTCTCCTGCCCTTCCCCTGCTCGTGCACTGTCCCCCCACCCCAAATAAATAAATAAACTTAAAAAAATTAAATTTTTTTTCTCTCCCTGCACCTCCCTCTAAAATAAAATAAATAAATGTTTATTTTTTTTTTAATTTTTTTTTTCAACGTTTATTTATTTTTGGGACAGAGAGAGACAGAGCATGAATGGGGGAGGGGCAGAGAGAGGGAGACACAGAATCGGAAACAGGCTCCAGGCTCCGAGCCATCAGCCCAGAGCCCGACGCGGGGCTCGAACTCACAGACCGCGAGATCGTGACCTGGCTGAAGTCGGACGCTTAACTGACTGCGCCACCCAGGCGCCCCAATAAATGTTTATTTTAATTAAAATCTCAACACCTCTCCCTCTAGCTCTCCCCATCTTAATTTCCCAGGCTAGGTATTTCCGACTGCCTCATTTAAAACCCCTTGAGCCTGACTAATGACGTTTCAGGGTTCACCTCCAAATCTCTCCTGTACATTTGGAATTTAGACCCATTATGTGGCTGTTTTCTTGGCTTTCCTTTTAGCTTCCTTCACCTTCCTTTTCCCTGGGGGAGTCAGGAGACATTTCCAGAAGAACTTTGAGAAATGATCTGCTAGTCCATACAGCACCAAAAGTGATGGCCAGATTTCTTTTTCTGAGCACGTGTTTGCTGGAATGTGGGGCTGGGCACAGAAGGGCGAGCAAAGCTTTCTTCTCTTACCTGCTACTGTCCTCCTGGGTTGGACCTCTGTCCCCAGGCAACCCAGCACAAGCCTCCCCTGAGGGTGCCAGCACCCTCCCATCTGAACCGGGAAGAGTGTCCCTCTCACAGAAGGCACCAGGTAGAGGGGATTGTCCATCGACCATGCCAGTTGGCCAAGTTCCTCTCTCAGCTAAATCAGGAAGCTCATAAAAAGACTTTATCTCTGGGTCGCCCGTGCCTCCCCAGTTTCCACCCGCCTGGCGCCTGGGAAAGGACAACAAAGGGGTGTGGAGAACAATGACCTTCTGTGAGGCCGAGCCTGCACCAACAGAGTCATGGGAACCCCGGAGTCTCGGTCCCTCTCCTCCCTTGGCCTGGAGCCCAGGTGGCCAGGTGTCCTTCCTGGTAGACCAGGAGGCCCTGGTGGCCACGTGTGCTCCCCGGCTGGTGGCCTTGCCCATGTCCCTTCTTGAGTGTTACAGCTCTTCAAAAAGAGCCTGACAGGTGGCCTAGTTTTCTCCTTTGATTTCTTAGAATACTCCTGGTGTCACCAACTCTAGAATACGCCATTTTGTTTCTTACCACTCCTCTCTGGACTGGGCCGAAGACCAATGTCACATCCTGCCCCTCACGTTTGCCATTCTTCCCACAGCCCCCCACCGGGGTTGCACACCGACCGCAGAGGCCGCTCCCCCATGGTTAGGAGGGGGCTCCGTCCCCCCCACCCCCCCCCCCCCCCCCGCCTGGGCCTCACAGCTGCCTGTAAAACACCAGGACATCCGGGCATCTGGTTCATAACAGACTGTGCTCCCAGACCCTTGGGGCAGGTACAGTGACCTGAAGGCACTCCCTGCCCCCACCCCCAACCTGCAGACTCAGCGCCGCTGAATACCTTCACATTCTTTGCTTTCAAATTTTACATCTTCCCATCTACTGTCTCATGACTTTCGCCACTAACCCGAGAAGAACATAGATGCGTATTTTTATTTCTCCTTTAGGGACAAATGAAGTGAGGTGCAGGCTTGTCCAAGGTCATTACCAGTCGCTGGCTGACAGAGCAGGTGGAACTCCTGACTCCTCTCTCCAGGGTTTCTCCATCCTGTTGCTGGTTCAGAAACACTTCCGGTGCTTGGGCCTATTGTACTTCCCACTTCCGGTCACGGACCGTGAGAGCCGAAAGTGGCTTCCAGTGTGGGGTGTGGTCGTGTCCCATCCCCCCCACAAGGAAAGTAAGCCCCGGGTGGGGGGGGAGGAACTTCCCAAGGTCATACGGGGAGGGAGCCGCAAAGCTGTCTGGTCCCAGAAACCCTTTCTCCCCATTTCTCTCCTTCCCTCCGCCCTGCCAGGGTGACCAGGCGATCCTTGGTGTCTGTGTGGCCTTTGCAGCGGCGGCCGTGCTCTGAGGAGGGACAGGGGGGGGTCCTCGTGGACCGGAGGGGCGGGTCTGGGAAAGAGGCTGAGCTGGGACAGGAGGTAAAGGAGAAGGGCGAACATACCAGGCTCCGATGACTGACGCGGGACCTCGGGAACACCCCTGGTCATTTGTGCGGGTTGTGGGGCCGGCTCGGGAGACCTAATCCAATGAGAGAAGTCAAAAGGTGTTGGTGCTGCAGCACCACCACGATTAAGAGAAGCAGAACGCTGTCACCTGGGCCTGATGGCCACACGGTTCCGCGACAGCTCCTCCCGTCATCAGGAGTGACTGGTGGACCTTGTGGTACATCGTGTTTGATCTGTGTCCTCTCTGCTCAGTCTAAGCAGAGTGGCCAGAGCTTCGGGGTTAGAAGGGGCTTGAAAAAAACCCCTATTCAGAAAGAAACCAGTATGTTGTGTCCTGAAGCTCTACCCGTGGCTCCTTCCTTTTCTGGCTTCTGATGTTAGGTCACACCAAGTAGCCACAAGGGCCGTGTGCCCATCGGCCCTGGCGCAGGTAAGCTCCGCAGAGGCTGCAGCGAAGAATGAACTGCTCCCTGATCTTCTCTGGTTCTCGAGCAAGATCTGGGAGGCCCCCCACACCGGGGGCAGCGAGCCAGGAGCACCGCTCGGCCGGGACGGCCGGGCTGCGGGGCTGAGAGTACCCAGGGCAGAGGGAGCTGCCAGCCGCTGGTCGGCAGATTGTGGCAGTGTGGGCCTGGCATTTCCGGAGCCCTTTTGATGGGGAGTGTGAAGTTGACATCCCCCCAATTTCCAGTGGTTGTTCCCCAAAGCCACCCCAGTTAGCACAGTGCTGAGTTGACACAAATATTGTTTTGCCAAGAGGCTTCTTTCCTACCCTGCAGCCTTTCCTTCCACCAGAGTGATGCCCTCAAGTTCCTTCCATATGGACGATTGGGAAGGGGATAATAAGCAGTGAAGTCTTTTTCCCTGCAGAGAGGGGAAAGCCAACAACGGATGCGTTAAGCAGACAAACAACAACAACAAAAAACCCCGAAGAATGGAATGGAATGTCTATCTACTAACAATGCCCATCTTTGGTCGGTGGGACCAAGTCTGACTTTTTTCTCATCTGGTCTTCATTTCCAAATGTACTATAATATATATATATATATATATATATATATATATATATATAGTCACTGTATGCTAAAAATAAATATGTACTAAAAATTTTAGAGCCACTACGGCTCTCAGAAGCAGCGGGCTTCGTGCAGGGAGTCCCTGGAGGGGATCCTTCCCCGACAGAGGGCGGGTTCCTACACTGTCCCCAGGGCAGGCCACCCCCGCTCTGGGGCTCCTCCATGGCTTCCTTAAAGAGCTTCCCATTTTCTCCCGTCCCTGTAGAGTCAGGCTCTTATGGGAAAAGCCAAAGCCCATTATCTCCCAACTCAGCTAAATGGTGAGAAAACAGACTGGTCCAGGCACCCTGCTCTCGTTTGAAGCCTGAGCAAGTGCGTCAGCATGTCTCTGGCTCCCGGTCTCCCCCTCCCCTTGCTGCTCGCCGGGTATAAAATACCCACAGCCTAAAAATAAATCTCTCTTGAGACAGCTCAGGTGCAGCTCGGGGCTTTCACCTCCAGTGCCTTGCTCCAGCTCTGATCTGGGTGTCTTTAACACATTAAAAAGCTTCAGCTACTTTAAACACAGGGCCACCATATGACCCAGCAATTCCACTCCTAGGGATAGACCTAAGAGAATTGAAAACATACGTTCGCATAAAACCTCGTACATAAATGTTTACAGCATCTTTATTCATCAGAGCCAAAAGGTGGAAACAACCTCAACATTCACCGACTGGTGAGTGAATGGACAAAGCCTGACTCATCGACCACGGTGGAATATTATTCGGCAATAAAAAGGAGCAGAGCGCTAGCAGGAGCCACGGCCTGCGTGAACTTTGAAACCGTGATGCTAAGTGAAAAGACCGTATCCTATGCGAGTCCACTCACATGAAATGTTGAGAACAGGGAAATCTGTGGAGACGGAAAATAGATTCGTGGTTGCCAGGGGCTGAGCGCCGGAGCGGGGCTCAGGGGGATGATAGCTCAAGGGCACGAGGTTGCTTTTGGGGGTGATGAAAATGCTCTCAGGTTGTGGTGACGGTCGTGCAACTCGGTGGGGCACACAGAAAATACTGAATCGCACACTTTACACGAGCGCATTGTACGGTGTGTGAACTCTGTCTCAGTAGAGCCGCTCTTGAAAGGCTTTGGCTGGGGTATCATCCGTCAGTCACACACACTCACGCACCCGCTCATGTTCACACTCACGTGCAGATCGTGTAGCAGCTCCGAGCTGGGGGCAAGGCAGGAATTTCAAGGGTGAACAAGGTGCGAGGCAGCCAGGCCCGCAGCCCACACGGAGGGCAAACATCCGGCTCGGGAGGCCAGGAGGCCAGAGAGGTGTGCCAGGAAGGGGGGAGTGGCGCCCCAGCGCTCCGTCCACCTCTAGTAATGACCTCTAAGTCAGGTGCAGGGGGAATGGGGTGGGGGAGGAGCACACACTCAAAGGAAACCAGACGTTGCCATACGGAGCTGGATTCTCTCTTCTTTTAAGAAAACCACTCTGTTCCCTCAAGCTGGCTGGCCCTGCTCTTGCCCACCGTCCCTCGACTGGCTCCACCCCTTGGTGGCCTGCTCTGAGGGCACGCGCCATGCCCTAGTTCTCTTGGGTACCCTTCTGCCCGGAGTGCTGACCACAGAGAGGGGGTGAAACCCTCTGACCACCTGAAGAGAGTTCTGTCAGCGACGGTTTGCTTCATGGATTTTGAGCCCCGTGCTTTGAGACACTTGAATCTTTGACCGAACCTGTAAACCAGGGACGGGAAGTCCTGAGCACCAGCCAGAGGCTGGTCTTGAGACTCCCTATTTTCCATCAGAGAAAAGGTGGGACAAGGAGGGCTGAATGTATCACTCCGGCCCACGAAGCCACCTTTGCGTGAAAGTAGCTGCCACGGGGCAGAAAAGGCCAAGGGTTAGAATGGAGGCGAAACCGCTCACCATGTTCTTTCTTTCTTTTTTTTTTTTTTTTAATTTGTTTAATGTTTATTTAAATTTGAGGAGACAGAGCAGGGGTGGGGGAGGGGCAGAAAAAGAGAGGGAGACACAGAATCCGAAACAGGCTCCAGGCTCCGAGCGGTCAGCACAGACCCCGACGCGGGGCTCGAACTCACGGACCGCGAGATCGTGACCTGAGCCGAAGTCGGACGCTTCACCGACTGCGCCACCCAGGCGCCCCAGTTATTCCCCTTTTAAAGGGATACTGAAAGGAGCACCTGGGTGGCTCGGTCGATTAAGCGTCCGACTCAGGTCACGATCTCACGGTTTTTGAGTTGGAGCCCCGTGTCGGGCTCTGTGCTGACAGCTCAGAGCCTGGAGCCTGCTTCGGATTCTGTGTCTTTCTCTCTGTCTGCCCCTCTCCCACTCATGCTCTGTCTCTTTCTCTCTCTCAAAAATAAATACACATTAAAACAAAAATAAAGGGATACTGAAGAAACTGAGGTCAGGTCACCTGCCCACAACTGTTTGGTAAATCGAAGAATCATGGGACGAGAACCTCTTCACCTGGCATCTCTCCCAGGACCAGGGGTCTCAACGTCTAGTTGCATCGGAACAATGTGGGCACTTGTCAGAATCAAAGAGGTGTAGGATCTGGGGTACCAGACCCATGGAATCAAATTTTCCAGGGTGGGGCCCAGCCATATGCACTTGTAAGTTTCCTCCGGGTGATTCCGGTCCACACCAGAGTCCTTGAGTCTCTGTACTAAATCAAGCAGGTCTTGGAAAGAGAAAACCTAGAAGAAAAGAAAAACGTAGCCAGAAAAAAATCTAGAGAATAAAGGAACTTTAAAAATGGGATCTGCCTTATCTTCCAATGATAGCTAACTTCATGGAGTGTTTCCTTGGTGCGGGGAGATTGCCGTGGGTGCTTTATATACTCTACATTAATGTATTTGAACCCTTGAGCCACCCTCTGAGGTAGCTACTTTTACTACCCCCATTTGACAGAGGAGAGAGTTTAAATTATTGACCCAAAGTCACCCAGCTAAGAAAGAGAGCCAGGAGAGGATCTCCACTGCCTTATAGACCTGTAGAGAGGCAAGTGTTTTCCTGTAGAGAGGAAGATAGGCCGGGAGAGTGAGAACAGAGGCGCCACAGAAAGCTAATATGGAGCAAGGCTAGGTTGAGGTCCCCAATCTACGTCCTCCCAGGGCATGCTGGCATCATCCCGGAAACCTGACTGGGGGCTTGGCAAGTTTAGGCTGAGCTTTGGACACCTGTCGGAAATGGCCATCCCTGCCACCTTGAGAGGGCACCTCCCACTGGGTGTAATGGGTTGAAGGGCCACGCCCCCCCCCCAAGACATGTCCATGTCTCAATCCCTGGCACCTGTGAGTGTGACCTTATTTGGAAAAAGGGTCTTTGTAGATGCAGTTAAGGATCTTGATCTGGATTATCCAGGCGGGCCCTAAATCCGGCCACAAGGGTCCCCGTAGGGAGAGGAGACACAGACACGGGGGCAGGGCACGTAAAGACGCAGGCAGAGTTGGGAGCAAGCAGCCTCAAGTCAAGAGACGCTGATAGTTACCAGAAGGTGGAAGGCACAAGATAAGGAATCTCCCCCTAGAGCTTTGGAAGGGAGCTGGGCCCTGCCAACACCTTGATTTCGGATTTTC